CTGTCCAGCTGAATGTGATCTTGCCCGGCCGCGCGGCAGAAAAGGGAACGGTTCGCGACGGGTATCGACCGCCGATTGAAAGCATTGACCGAGTTTGAATCGTCGATGAGAAGAGACGTACTTGGCTCGTCCAAAGCCGTCCGATCGGATCCACTTGCGATCTGAACGGCTGCATTCACGTGCTTTTCGAAAAACCGGGGAAGATGTGCACTCCCCTTCAAACTTGAGGTTGAAGCGCAGCGCGTAGAGCTCATGCAGAGTCGATAACTTATTACCGTACACTACGATCTAGGTAGGTAGAAGACTAAAGTTGCTGAGTTGCTCTAACTTACAGCCTCAGGTGTCCGTTTTAGGAATTTTGCTCAAGCATTTCATTCATAGCAACATCCTGACTTGCAAAACGTATATCTCAGAGGCGCTATATCGTTTACAGCGCCAGTATGCACCCTTTTCCTCCGGCTTTTTAGCCCTCGCAAGACTGGTAATTTGACAGCTTTTTGAATTTTAACATCACGGCGGCCGGCAGAGGGCTTTGTGCCGAGATCTGAATTCTAATTCCTAGCAACTGCGCGTCATACACTTTGAATGTTGCAGATACTTTCATAGTTTGCGCATGCTCAGAACAGCGTCATGACAGACTGACTGCCAGGGACGCGCCACTCCCAGGCAAACTATTGCATATTATCAATGCCTTGAGCAGATAGCCTGCAATTACTTGTTGTCAGCTGTGGTATCCAAAAATCCAGCCGGAGGACCGCTGAAACTGCCGTACTGAGGACAGCGCAGGTTGCAACGATCTAGATCTGCAGCCCCTGTCCAGCATACAGCTAGCTATAGCATAAAGCTTCCTTCTGACATCGGAATCAGCATGAGCATCAGCCAAAGGCTCTGCAGAAGTCCTCTGGTGGCAGGTGCTGGCAGTGAGCTGCTGAGCACCTTCCTGTTCGTGTACCTGGGGTGCGGCATCCTCGTTGGTTCAGGTGTGAGAATTTTGATTCTTATGCTGGTTTTGCCTTCTGCTGCCTACTCAAGAGAGTAACACCTGACATGCATCCTCAAAACGGTACGGGCTGTGAAGGCACTCTTTGCTAGTGAATTGCTTGCAATTGGGAACTTAGTAGAACGAGAACTGCTAGATCCCTTCGCCGGCTCCATTAGTCTGAGGTTTAGACTCAATCACACAAGAGTGCCAGCTTCTGGACCTTCTGCTTCTAAGGATCGACCAGATTGCAGCATTTTTGAAGAAACAGCATCCAAGTCGCTACCATACACTATTCTGTGCTCATGTCTCTGACGAGGATTGACCTCTACGAATCAGACGTGACGTAGCCTCTGAAGGAAGAAGCCGTCTCCGTTCAACCGCACCAAGTCTTGAACCAATCCCAAGGAGCTGAAAAGAGAACAAAGTGCTTGTGTTCAATGGACAGGTTGAAGGAGCTTGGCTCTGGAATGACTTTGAGGCATGACTGGCGGCTGCGCGTTTTATTCAAATGATCCGAAACCATCCTTGAGGTTTCCCGGACTGTTTTTGTATCGCACCCTAGCTTGCCCTTGGAGTAGGATTGGGATGATTGTTTGTACTTCTTGGAAGTACAGACAAGCTCTGTTGCAGTCCTCAAGCCTATGCTCAAATGATGCAGGAGTCCTGGATGAGCAGTTCAAGGGCCCTCAAGTTGCCGGCGTCGCTGGGCTAGCCGTCCTCACATCAGCAGTGACTTTCCTATCTCAGTGGACACCTGCAACATCGCACCTCGCCTCTGAGGTCCGGATACTGGGGAGGAAAGAGGCAGCACTGCATGCGGCAGTTTGCTTGCTTGCGCAGGTTGGAGGGGCAGTGCTTGCCAGTTCTTTAGTGGGGCATGTGTGGGAAGGGACATTGGTCCGAGTTGAGTTGCACCAGAAGTTTGTGAGCCTCAGATGAGGTCGAGACAAACTTGTTGAGCGTTGATGAAGTTTTACTAACCAAAGGAGGAAGTGCTGGACAGAATAGCGTCTAATCGATACTACGTTGCAGGTAGGGTCAGTGGGACACTTATTATGCAGCAGGGTCGCAGCGGGCACATTGCAATTGACAAAGGCAAGCTCGAGCCATTCATCAGTCCCTCGTTTTGGCAAATAGGTCCTACTAATCAAATCAGACTCTGAGTGCAGCGCGTGTGTACAGATGCGCGGGCCAGAATCGGCAGCGTGCATTTGGAAGGCGGCAATTTTGAGATATTTTCCATTGCAAAATGGCTAGGTTCAGTAAAAATTGCGCAGTATACAAGGAGCAAATATTACTATGTATGGCTACCCCTCATGTGCTAACCACATCAGAAATCAAGTTACTCACATATGTCAGAGCTAGTTGATTATAAGAGCCAGGAAGCACAGCATTATGCCGCATATAAAAAGGTAGGTGGAAGACCTCATGCAGCGCGAGTGATACGAGTCTGGCTACATGTTAGATACTCGATCTCGTATACAGCCTGCCTCTCGACTCCGGGCCATTTTTGCGGTGACTATAGTATAAACTGATTTTGTAAGCGTGTTAAATTGATTGCGCATCATCGAATCGGAGTTACTCAATAGGAATGCGACATGCCATACCCGTGGCAGGCTTTCGCCTGTGCACGATCCTCCATGCAATCAATGAGTCTCATCGAGGACCATTTACAAGCCTCGGACAGCCGCGAGAAGTACGATGAACCCGCTGTTCCAAGCTTTTCGCAGAGACAGGTCTTGATTAGTTTGCTGGCATGGACTCAGGGCAGTCTATTAGCCCACGAGCCAGGCTGCCAGGGCCGGTAACCAGCGTCAGTGATAATTAGACGCGACCTCTGAGTGACCTTCACTTTTCAGTGGAATCTTTTCCTTAGCAACTTCGTGAATGTCTATTCTGGGTCCATGCTTTGACTGAACTGCAATACAGGAACGCGAGCGTCGGAGCTGATTTGACGACTTGTCCGGCCAAAGTCGCTCTCAAAGTCAACTCGCTTCAAGCAGAATGATACAAAAAGCTCAGCGCTGCAAGTCAGTATTGTCAACCCCTGGAACTGGAGCCGTTTCGGGCCTTACGACTCGTTCCCCCTCTTCTGCCTCTCTGTACACGCTCGAGACAAGGACGCTACGCTTAACGAAGATTACCGCCAACCCGTGACTGAGCAGACCATACCCGGTCTCATCTCATCACCTCAACCCTTTCCACCATTTCTATCCGCCCCCCTTCGCCCACCCTACACCGCCCCGACTCCAAACCCCCCAGAACGAAACTTTCTACCGCAAGCGCGAGCCCACTTTCGTCATTCGATGACGTCACGAACTGCGCCGCGGCTTTCACCTCCGCCCCCGCGTTCCCCATCGCCACACTAGTTCCCACCGTCCGCAGCATTTCGATGTCGTTCTCGCCGTCCCCGATGGCCAACACGTGGCGCGCATCCACGGCCATCCGCTCCAGGACCATCTTGAGACCGAGGCCCTTTGAGGCGCCCCGGGGAAGCACCTGGGGTAGAGGGAGGGTTATTACAGGGGGTAAAGAAAAAATGAGTGGGGGGTAAGAAGAAGGGATATGATGCGCAGTAAAGTGCCCGGATCTCCATTGTGCAAACGGAGGCCCTCTTGAATGCCTCCAGTAGACATTGACAAATAACTGCTGTGGATGCAAAGAATGGTGTCCTCGGATTGTCCCACGCAGGGACCACATGTTTGTGTTACAGCATGGCCGGGAGTGTAGTTATTCGAATAGATCTTGCACCGAGTGCGAATGACAACTGGGGCTGCAACATCTGGGCCTGCTTGTCAAAGGGGCAGAAACTGTCACTACGCCGAAAATACCAGATCGTTCGCAGACTCGAGAAAAGAGTCTGCGCGGCAACGCCCTACAAAAAGGGCTTTTGCAGCTACTGAATTTCGACGAGCCGAAAGACGTTGGGAAAGGGGAGGCGACTGCTAACAATGAGCTGAGGAATCATGTGGCAGGTGCTCTATGTACTCGATAAGAGCGCCTGCTGTTTTAGCGACATGCAACGAGATCTCGAATATTGTAAATAGCATTGCTGGCTTTGACGATGACTGCCACTGCGCTGCGGGGTGAAATAGCGCAAAGAAAGGATAGATGAATAGGAGAAGAACGAACTGACCAGTTGCTGGAACGCGCCGAAACTTAGGGCTGTTGATATGGATCCTTTGATATTCTGGTTTCACACCGCAGGGGTGTCTAGAAAGAACACGAACATCAGTGAAAACGGAACTCGTATTACGTTACTAGATTGCTTCGAAAAGCACCCCCCTCGAGCATTCCCTTGAGCACTCCGAGTATTCCGTCGACCACTTTGAAACCTAAAAACTCTGCCCAGATTTCCTTCTCCTCGATCACTTGAGCATTCCGTTGAGCATTCCGTTGAGCATTCCGTTGAGCACGCACCTCGAGCATTCCGTTGAGCGCCGTCACGAGCGTGGCTTCTCTGCCCAGCGCCGCCTGCACCGCCGGCCGGATCGCGTCGATGGCCGACTGCTCGCCCATGTATAACAACTGCACGCGCGCAAGTCAAACTTGGGGTAGTGGCAACGGCAGTTTTCAATAAACAGAGTGTTCACTAAGATTAAAAAGCCCCGGGCACATGATAAAAAACCCAACCTGAAAGGTCACGCGCTCCGCCCCCGTACCCACTCTAACCACCAAGCTAACCATACCAGTCTCCCGGGTGCCTACGATTGTGAACGCTACATTTAGTGAGCACTTCCGTTGCCACAACAAACTTGGTTAGGGGATCGAGGACAGATACGATTTCGAAAATTTCTGCAAATTCACCGCATGACATTTTCGGCCGGTCATGTTCTGATCTAGACTGAAGTAAATTTGTGGGAAAACGAGAGAGAATGACTCTCGCGTGTCCGCCAGCGACCAAACATCGGACTCCGAATCTTCTCGATGTCACACGTTGGAAGGGATGTGTTGACGTGGCACACTCCAGACAAGAAAACATCGACGGCTGGTTTAGCTGGCTGCGACAACTCCAACGGCCTTAACTCGGCTGGTGACCAGCTTTGGAGCCCAACTTGTGTTCACTTGCTAAACTGCGAAACAGAACCTCGTCTTCAAAAAGCTTTCGGAACAGGTCGAAGCTGCCGACTCTGGGAGCTTTCTTTGGATTCAGCCCTAGTGTTGTTCCGCCTTACAAAGCCCCCTTCGATTTCCAAATAGAGCTCAGCAAGAGCGGCAAGACCGAGAAGGACGTCGACCTGAAAGCCGTGCAGAACCGCGCAGGGAGCAACATTATTTCTTGCGAGAACCTCTTTTGATAACAGAACAATCACGCAAAAGCCATAACGACTCCTAGAAGAGACCTTCTTCCTTGACTGACACGCAAGCTGAGAAGCGAGCCTTATCGGAAAACACAATAACCGGAGCCACTGCAGGCGGCACGTTCATTCTTCAACGAAACAGGCGGCACGTGAACGTCGTCTCCTGACACCTAGGAGCTTGAGGCAAAAGTTGAAGCATCCAAAACTGTTATCATCTGAGCACCCAGCATTATTAAACGACGTGCAACTTTCCAGTTAATGGAACAAATCTGCTCTTATGAATTGGTCCGGGCGATCCCCGTACCTTGTTGATGGGAATTTTTCCAACCACGTCTAGGAGCGACCCCATAGCTTCCGGCACCGGCTCCCCATAGCCTATGAGGCGGTCCGTGTGCTTATCACGCTCGGCGCAGAGTCTGCATCGAGGAAAGAAAATGCAGTCATGACAGGAAGGACCCTGGCAACTGTCTGATTCACACAAACTGTTTGCGCGTGCCGCAGACCAGCGGAAGTTCCCCGAAAGGGCAGAAGCTTGTGGAAGGTTCGTAAACGCATGGGATTGACGGTTTCGAAAACGGATCCTTTAGGGTACAGAAACAGAGACCACGCGGAAGTCCCGCCAAAAAGAGCGATTAGGAGCAGTTGCGGACAAGCAGCCAAAGACGGACCCATGAGGGAGCTCCCTTCGACTCTCTCTTTCCTCCCAAGCTTTCACAGAGTAAAGAAGACGCAGGTGACCGGCCCAGAGAGCTCTACAATTCGCCTCCCTGGGCAAATCTTCTCGCCCTGCAGAGTATACAAGGAGAGATAGCGAGGTTGCTTACATTCGATTCCCGCAATACGCGGTCACAGTTACGTTTTCTTCCACGCCTAGTCGGATGACTTTCCGGGCCACGTCCTCGTCCATGCACCGCTCGTACAGAATGCTGCCGTCGCCATCATACAGAATGAGGCCCTGTCGGAAAGGGAATCTGCATCTTCCTATCGGATCTCCCACAAATGATAATGTTCCAGGAAAAGCACGACCTCCCGTTTCAGAGTACTATTTGTTTGGACTCAGTGCTTTCAGATTGGAAAATATCTCCGAAATGAGATCACCAGGCTTATGGTTTGATCCAAAGAGAAAGCAGCGACAATGAGGGCAAAAGTCTCCAAAAAAGATCGAAATTTCTTACCTGCATGTACACACCTGGTGTGGTGAGTCCCAATTGGGGCAGTACAGTGTCTATCCAGGGACCCCGGGCCTTTCCGGTAGCAATCAGTACCTGAGAAAGACATAAGCAACCTTCGTACTCGTTTCCGCCTGCTTTTTCACTTGGATATGCTAATGCAGATGTAGCTTGCAGATCAGTTTCTTTGGCTGAGGTGCCCACAATTGTAGCTTCAGCTTACAAGGCCTGTTGGTATAGTCAAGAAGAAAGCATATGCTGTTCCAAGTTGAAGTGGCAGTTTTCATCAAGTATAAAGTCAGCAAATAGACACTTGTGGTTGTAGTGGCAGTCTGCATGTCCTTGCGAGTCTACGCAGGCACAGATCGAAACGTAGTGAAGTAGGAAGTTGGCGGACTTCAGTTGGAGCTAGAGCGAAGTTCTGAACACTGGCGGTTAGTGCAGTCTGATCTGGCGGTTGGCCAATGTCAGCCGTCGGGACATCGGTGCAGATGGCAGCTCTAGAACTCACTTGGAGGGTCTGGTCAGTGGGGTGAAGCAGCCAGGCTCTGCTGAATTTGGCTCCTCAATCTCAGGTGTTTAACATTCATTTCTGCTTCTCAGCATCACCCCTTGCGCCTACTTGAACGTATCTGCAAGGATCTTGGACTAGTGGAAGGCAGTCTTGCTCCTTCTGGTCTTTGGGTGAGCCTCTGACCCAGCAAGTCGAGCACACTGCCCTGGCGAGCCTACATAGAACCTGACACAGTCAGACCCAATAAGGAAAAAAGCAACCCTCAAACCGGTTCTAAATGAAGCTCACCTGGATTCCCTTCGCCATTGCAGCTTTGAGTGCCGCCACCGTTTCTCCCCGCAGCTGCTGCTTGCTATCCAACAACGTCCCGTCGACATCTGTCGCGATCACAGTGATCGAAGGCCTGAGCTGATCAGATTCTCGCTTTTCATTGGAGATGATTGGGGATGGCACAGCGCTCATCGTTACTTTGCGCGGGGTTGTGGAGTTCCTTTGTGACGAGATTGCAGCTCTGCAATCGTAGGCAGTGCGCACAGTGAGGCTTCTTGTTGCAGCTGGTTTCGAAATCCGTTTGCGTGCGCCTTGCAATCTGCAGTTCTGTTCTGGGTTATTGATGTTTGAAGTGTTCTGTTGTCTGTGAGCCCCTGCGCAACCTTTTTGGCTTCTCCTTTGGGCAGCTGACTGCATTTGCATTGGCTCAAATGTGAAAAGCGTAATTTGATGCTTCCGGCAATCGATCCTCTGACGATCAGCTGCCTTGCCCGCTGAGCGTCGGAACCGACCCGAGTGGATTGCACGTCCTGGACAAGATGACAGACAATGCCCTCCTGATCTTGATAGCTGGGAGAAGCTATTTAGAATGACGTTAAAGCCAGAGCTCAATACGGGCGGGCTGTTGGTGCAAAGTGCAAAAGATAGAACTGGCCCTCCCAGAGTAGGAAGCAGAGTGGTCTCTAGCATGGTGACTCTACCTCTCAATTAAACAGCTTTCGAGGCGAAGAAAAAGCAGATTGAATGAGCGACCACTAATGCAATACCTATTTTAGCGCGATCAGCTGCGCTGAAGACAGTGGTTATAAGCTGAATTAAATGCAGCTGAGCCAGCACCATGAAACCAGATCGAGGCGCAAGTACTGTTCCTGGGGGGCTCA